CTGGTGCTACGGGAAACAGAGTTCACTCCCAACTTTGCAGGCAAAGAGCCAGACTTTCTAGATAAGGGAATGTATACAAATGAATTTGTAAAGACCTAGGTTTATATTCTACTCAAAACAACTGGCTCCTTATCAATAATTTTAAAAAGTTGAGGAAAAAACACATATGAAACTAATAGAAATATTTTTTAAGTTTATGACCACAGATTATTTAAATTCGTCTAAGTGCCTAAGACAGGTCTGATTACATAGTAGATAATGAGTCATGCACAGAAGTAGAAAAGTGAACTGCTTAACGCATGAGAAATGCACAATAGGCCAGGCAGGGAAATAAACTGAGGAGTTTATTTATATAAGACATTACTGTGGAAAAGCACTTTTACATTCATGATCTAATTTAGCTCTTAAGAGAATCAAGTCAAGCAAGAAGAGTGAGGCCAAGAAGCTTGGTCAACTCCTCAGGCTCATAAAGCTATTGCAGCTCTGACTCCAAGCTCACAGCCCCGGGGGCCACTGTCCTCCAGGATCACCCTCAACAAGTGACACTCACAATCAGGTCCTGATTGACAGCCATTCTCTCACCCTCCGCTACTCCACCCTACAGACGGGTTCATTTCCATCATGTCCTCATGAAGCAAACCTTGTGTTTCATATCTAGAAGCTTCCCTAACAAGAGGCCTCAGCTTTCATGAATTCTGCATCCGAGGTTGGTGTATCGTTGGTAAAAAGCAGACTTGCCCTTATTGCAAAGAGAAGGTTGATTTGAAGAGGATGATCAGTAACCCGTATCCTTTTTTTAAAAGTTATAAACTATTATCTTAAATGTTTCTGGTGATGCATTCTTCAGTCTAAACTTTCATTATCTCTGCTGTTGTTGTAGCAGAAAACTTTGTGTTCTCCCAACCACCTATTCCATCCAAACAACTCACTGGACTCTTTCCTCTATTCTGATTAGGAACATATGTGCCCAAAATGACACATTCTACTCTTCATATTCCATATATGGGCTTTCCCATAAGGGCTTTAGTGGAAATGTGATGGAACATTGCAAAAGATAGGTAAATATATGGAAGGACTAAGATAGATAGATGATAGATAGATAGATAGATAGATAGATAGATAGATAGATAGATAGATAGATAGATAGATAGATATAGATAGATAACAAGCAATGGGTGGATGGGATAGGTGGGTGGGCAGATAAACAGATAGCTTGGAATTTAAATTTTAAAAGCCCCAAATGTGAACTGGAGTATAGAAAAGTATTTTTAAGGTGTACCAAATTATTTCCAGAAATGAGTAGGGCTTGCCTCTGTAGAGTCTGGCTTTTTAAATTCCTTGCCATGCCCTCATCTTTTCTTAAGCGAAATCCTAGTGGTGATGATATTGAAAGGAAATGCAGATCTACAAGCTTGGTCAGCTAATGACGGCAACTAGGATTTTTATGGACTCCAAGATCCCCATCTGAATAAACCCAAATCTTATGAAGGCACAGGAAAGTCATGGTCCCATCCAGAGCTCACTACAAAGACTTGGTCCTCAGCCCCACTGGCTCAAAACCATAATACATGCATTTTTTCCAGGGGGTGAATGGGAGTAAAACAGCTTCTCCTTTAAGCAGATGGGCATTGAGAGTTTGGCATCAACCTGCCAAATACTCTCTCTTCTCATTAGAGACAGCCTTTCTATACTTTCTGAGTAGAGTTCCCTAAATTGCACAGTGCTAAAGGAGACACTTCCCTTGTTCCCTGCTCCTCGCCAACCCTAAATGCAGTTTTAACCATGATTATTGGCAGCAACCTCCCTCCCCCAATCCCTGAGGTTTGCAAATCAAAGAAAGACTTTCAAGTAGGGTAGCAGAGGAGGCAGCATTGATGGGTCCTTGGGTCCTAGAGCCTGCTGTAGCTACAGAGAACACCATCTGCAGCCACCAGCTCCAAACACAGGCCTGGCCTCTCTCAGAGTCCGCACAGCCCAAGCACAACCAAGGCTGAAGCTGTGTGTTGCTCCTTCCCCCTTCCTTTCATCCACTCTCCCTGAATTTCCATCCTCATATGAGGAGACAGAGCCCGGAACCGTTTTGGGTGAATAACTTATAAAACCACAGAACATAAATCTTTGTTTTAAAATCGGCCATAATGTGATCATAAATGTCACCTTAAACGATCATTGAAATAACAGAACAATTGGTTCCTTTGCATAGTCTTGAAAGAATACATTTTTGAGTATTACAAGGTGCTCTTTTTATTGAGACTCAATAGAAGAAAAAGCCACATGCGGAAAACCTGCCTCTGTGCGTGTAACATTGCCATCAGAGGTACTACGTTTTAAGTCACCCTTAGCACAATTCATCAAAGCTACCAGGAAGAGGGGTATCTTACCTATGAGCACGTTTTCCTTTTTCATATCCAACGAGTTTCCCTGAGAAGCTGACTACAGGAGAGCCCAGAGCTTTTGCTCAGTTACAGCGGCTCCCTTACCCTTGACTTTCCAGTGTTGTCATTCCCCTCCTCTTCTTCTTTAAGTATGTGAGCCTTGCCTTGTATTCTTTTTTTTTTTTTTTTTATCCTCACCCGAGGACATTTTTTTCCATTTTTTGTACAGATAGAGTGGGAGAGAGAGAGAAACATCGACGTGAAGGGACACATCGAGTGGCTGCCACCGCACGACCAACCAGGGCCGGGGACAAACTGCAACCGAAGTACATGCCCTTAGCGGGAACCGAACCCGGGTCTCTCCGGACCGCAGGCCGATGCTCTAACCGCTGAGCCAAACCGGCCAGGGCTTGCCTTGTATTCTTGTTTTGTAGTTTGAAATTGCAATATAAACTTTTATTTTTAGAAATTAGGTGTAGTATAAATAACTATGATAACCAAATGCTATAAAAACCATGTAAAGATTTTTTTTAAATTTTTATTTAATCAATTTATTTTTGTTACAGATGTTTCTCCTTTTCCCCCATGGCTTTACCCTTTCTTACCCTCCCCACCCTATCCCCAGATTTGTTCTCCATTTCCATTGTTCATGCACACATGCATATAAGTTCTGTGGTTTCTCTCTCCTCCCCAACCCCTCTTCTGGGGATTGTCAGTCTGTACCCCACTTCCACGTCTCTGGGACTACCCCGTTTGTAAGGTTTTTTTTAATGAGCACATAGAACTAACAAGAAAGGAAATGCCCACTCGCTGTTATATTTGCAAATGATATGCATAAATATTTCTGCTCTTTAGCCGTATATAGAGCAACCTCCTTAACTGAGATTTAGCTGGGAGCGCACACACATTTTGTACGGACAAATCCTGGACTGGCTTCGTTATCTGGTGGCTTGGCAGCCCATGGTGATAGGAATAGTTCAAGGCATCAACTATTCACTGGGGCTGGAATGACACGGCAGACTGACCCCAGAGCAATGTATTGCATGTTGACGTATTTTCAAATCCTTCAGCCTATATTTACTACTGATATTCTTTTTTTTTTTTTTCTTTAATTTTAGAGGTGATTCTGAGAGTTTAGAAAATTGAATAAAATTTGGTGGTCTACATAAAGCAATTTGTCTATGTGGAGAGAATTTAAAGAACCGAACAACGAAATAAACAAATGAAGTATGCTTGGCATCTTTCCCGTTACAACTGTTTTCTGATCCACACAGCGACACGTTTGTTACCAATCCCCACAGCCATCCCACCTCTAATTTGGCTGATAATGATCAGAGGTTTGCAAAGTACTTCTCCCGCAGAACATTTAGTGATAACTAATACCTTCTGCTCAGTTCAACGTCTTCGAAGAAGTCGGCAGAGTTGTTAAGTAATCTGTGGTTTAAGAATATGGTCTTTTCTCCTCTTTGTGCTTGTGACCACCTGGCCACTTTGGCACCACAAAGCCCTTCCATAGAAACAGATTGCTCCCGAAATCTCTAGCACTAGGTGCCACTGTCCATTCAATGGGCCAGAGCTACGCCACATTGCCTGGGCCTGCCAAACACACTCAGCCATCCAGGGGCTGAGGATCAGTCTCTTCTCTTGTGCCACTCTGCATGCACACACACACACACACACACACACACACATACATATGCACACATAGACACACACACACACATACGCACACAGACATACACACATACACACATATACAGACAAAGAAAACTCACACTAAGATTTCTACCCGTTCGTAATATTCCATCGTGAAACTGACCAATGCTTTGGTGTTATGATTGGTTCACCATCCAGATTACTAGAAGATTAAACTCTGGTTTATTTCACTATTCAGCAAGCACTTCGGCAATTCAATACTTACTACATACCAGGCACAGGCAAGCGTTAAAGAGATAAAATAAGTTGACAACTAAAAAAAGAGTTCACAGTTGGATAAAAATTCATTTTTCTTCTGGAAAAGGAGGAGCCTTTGTATTGACCTCTGATGTATTTGCCACTCATTTTCAGTGGACAGGTGCATGAGGGCGGCTTTTAAAACAATTTAGACTCCTGGGCGAGTGTGAATTTGCTTGGAATTCTGAATGACCCTCAGAGTTCAGAAATATGTTAGATAAAAGGAGCTAAACAATCTCAGAAAAAAATAAAGATTTAAAACTGAATCCCAATTTTTGGAGTTATATACGTATAAAATATTGGAGACCTGTACTCTACACAGTTATCTGTGGTTATCCAAAGAGAGTTCTTAAAAGGGTAAGAACTGATTCTTATGTTCTTTTACATAATCTTATCTCTTTTCCAAAATTTCTACAGTGACCATGTTTGTTTAACTTTTGCAATGAGGAAAATAAAGATTATTTTTTCAATATTACTTTAAATCTCTCAGTTAACTATGAAGCTCTTTCTATTGCTGTGTAAATTATTGCAACTCAATCTACAGATGTTAAATGTGCTTAGTGCTCATGATAATCAACACTGAGCTCACTGTAGGAAATAAAGAAGAAAAGCAAAAAGCCCATTACTGTGTTTGTCTTCTGCAGCATCTCCCAGATTTCCTTCTCCTGAACTTTTCCATGTTTTTTATGTTGGCTACTGTTTCCTTCATAACACTCTCCCAGGATTTGTATGAAAGAGAAGAAATATTGTGTGAGCGTTCTGAGGACTACGGCTGGTTATGCACCTAGTGAGCTTATTTCTTTGGGCTATTTTTCTTCAAACAACAGGACCTCTTATATCCCTGCTAGTACCCGTAACAGAAAAATATCCATTTGCCAATCATAATGCGCAAGGAGACAGATTACTTCTTGGAAAATGATAACAGCTAACATCTACGACAAGCATCCTTGTCCCCCCACTCAAGCACCCCATGGTTCCCATTCCCACAGGCTGGGGCCTCTCGCCCGCCTCACCCCTCCTGAAGGAACGGTGACCAAGGTGCATGTGCTCAGTGGGTTAGGTACATTACTGCATTAACATCTACATCACACCCTGTGATCTCGATATTATTATCCCCGCTTTAAGGACAGGAAAATATTTGGGGTGAGTGAAGTAACTTGGCCAGTGATACATATCTACTAACCAGGACTTTCTGACTCCAGAGCTCAACCAACCACACAAACCCAGTCTTGGCTGAGAACTGAGCAGGGTCAGAGGAAGTTCACTTCCTTTCACACAGGGTCCCCAGCTTCAGAAGACAGTCACACCAACTCAGTCAATAGCATTAATTGCATTCAATTTAATGTATGATTAAATCTGCATTACAAAAATGAATGTATGGAAGTGTTGTCTGTCTTTTAAATGATTGTGTACCAAATAATTGTCATGAAGAACGTCTGGGTTTATACTTGTTTACAAATATATTTAGCTCATAGGTACTATTATACATTTTCAGAAGGAAAACAAAGGAAGGCCTGTATAGCACCAGAAACAAGACTTTGCAAAGAAGAAGACCGCACTGAGATGCAAGGTGACAGACCAGAAGATGGGGACCGACAGCCAGAGTAACTCGGTCCAAGTGAGAACTTCACATGGAGTTAAAGGCTGGAGGCAGATGAGTCAGAGATATGGAAGGCTTCTTTCAAAGTCTTCTAAAGTGAGGATTTTATTTACTTTAATAGTTAGATTTTCATTGAAAACCACAACTTACTATATCTTGTGTTAGGCACCCTCACTCAGGTAATTATGGCTAGAGGAACCTACCAAACACCCGGACGGACAGACAGACAGACAGACCCAGTTCACATGAAAACACACCATTCTTCAGGTATTTTGTATCCTATAAAGTTTGATGGGGACACACAACACTACTTTTCTAGGACTAGTAATGTCGGGGCTGAGTGACCCACACATTTTGCCCTTTTGACCACGAGAGCGGCCGAAGCAGACGAGGCAGCTGGGGGGACGGTGTACGCCTCTGTGGCCGTGGAAGCGTCTGCTAGCGGAGCTGACCCCTCACTCATTTGAAATCTTCTGTTCATCGGTGCCATTTCCTACTGAACTAAACCATTTGCCGCAGGTCATTCCCATATCAGTAACTGCCTCCGATTATGATGACCTCCTAGGATAAAGCAAAACCCAAAGCTGTTTTTGTTTCAAATGGGTAGCAGTTTTTATAAAACAGCGCTCTAGATAATGCTCGAACAGTTTCAGTGGTTTTCGTAAACGAGTCCTCGCGTAGTTCACATAGACTTGGGTCAGAAAGGACTTAGTTACAACTCGTGATAGAAAGGCCACCACTGGCCCAAGGCCGGCCTTGCAGGAAGGACCCTAGGACTTGATTGCGGCTCTCAGATTGATCCAAAAGTTGCCCTGCAGCGCTTCCTCGGTGGGCCACTCCAGGTAGGTCCTGGTGTTCATCACCTTGCGCAGCTTACAGAAGCGCTGGGGAATGGCCTTCCTTTCGATGGGCTCCAGGAGGACGAGGATGGCGGCGTCGTTGTTCTCGTCGAAGAGCCGGAAGTGGGAGAAGTCCAGCTCGTACTTGCACCACTCGCTCTTCACAAAGTTCTCGGAAAGCACGAAAATGGTTTTGTGGCTCTTTTCGATGGAGTCGATGATATTGTCAATAATCCATTTGCCAGGAATAAAGTCCCGTTTATGAAGACACAGTTTGAAGGGGGGGTTGAAGTGCTCCAGCTCCTGGACCATAAGGCTCTCCACCCAGTGGGAGTCCTGCTCACTGTAGGACACAAAGGCGTCATAGCACAAGTCCCTCTGGGGAGCTCTCCTGGGCTTCCTTTTGGCCTGGAGCCAGGCCCACATCATTCTCAGGTACCACAGCCCATGGAAGTGGTGGCACAGAACCCCAGTGACCAAGATCAACAGGAAAAGGACACAGCACGTGGCAGCCACCAGAGCCTCCCTGTGGCACTCCGAAACCGAGAGACGGGTGTCCTGAACCCGCTGGCCCCGCACGTGGGTTGGGGAATCACACAGGTAGTTTTCTGGCCAGCCCACCAGGATCTGGGCCAGTGCCCGCTGCTCCTGAGTGAAGGACAGGAATTCACAGGAGCAAATGAAATTGTTGCTGCCAGCTTCCAAAGTCTTCAGTTTTTTAAAGGAATCAAGTTGCTCCTTGGAGAACCCATTGATTGTATTTCTGCTGATTCTCATGACTAGTAGCATGGGCAAGAAGGAGGCATCTGGTAGCGCCTTCAACTTATTTCCAGAAATATAGAGCTCTCTGAGCTGTGGCATAGTCAAAGAAAACGAACTGAGACTGTTATTGCTAACATCTAAAATTTCCAGTGTCTGGGGAATGCATTCAGTTACACTCTGTATTCTTGTGCTGGATAAGTTCAAATGTTTCATCTTCGCCGGCCACTGACAAGTTTTAGATATAGGATGAAAATTATTCTTACTGATATCAAGATTAGTCAGATTTTCCAGAGTAAGCAAAATTTCTCCAGTTTTTTCTAATGATGTCAAATGATTTTGCCTTAAAATTAAGGTTTGCAGGGAGGGCCAGGCATCCTTGCAGGCTGAGTTTCTCAGTAAGTCTTCAACCATTAAATTGCCATTGAGATCCAAATATTCTAATGATTTTAAATATTGCGAAAGTGAACAAGGAACGAGGAAAACGTTACTGCTTTCTATTGTGACTCTTTTAACAGTTCCTGTAAATAAATATAAACTGCTCAGATCATGAAATGAATAAAAATGTGGGATATATAACTTCCGTATTGTTAATGTCTCCACCTTTCTCAGATCTTCAACTGCAGCCATATCAGATATGTAAAAAGCCCCAATTCCGTTGAGGGTGCATTGATCAAACTCCACATCTAACATTTCAGAAACATAATGCAACAGTTTCACCATTTCGTTAAAACTTTCATCGGTGATTTCCACATTTCTAAATGTCAACTTTTTAATGGTCTTGGTTTCATTGATAGATACTTCTGAAAAATGGAGAGTGTCCAAATGAGTATCTCTCAGTTCCAAATGCTCCAAGGAACTTAAAACATCTACAAAAATCTCCAGCAGGAACGCAGGCTGACTTAAATGAAGGATCAGATGGCGGATGTTCTGAATTGACTTCAAACTCTTTGGATTATACTTCCGGAGACTGGGAGCATTAATCTCAAGTTCCTCAAGAGAAGTTAGTCCAGCAAAATCCTTTTCCTGAATTTCAGTGAAGTAGTAACTATTTCCTACTTTCAGGATTCGCAAGTTGGTGAGATGAGAAAAAAGAGATGTTTTCCCAAGTGTTGTATAAGAATTTCCCAATAAGTTTAAGAATTTCAAGGAAGCAAGGGACCTGAACCAGGAGGATGATAAGTGAGGTAAGTGATTATACGATAAGTCCAAATGTTCAAGACTCCCCAGGGAGAAAAAGGAGTCTTCCTCTATGGTGTCAATTTTATTGGATTCCAACCTCAGAGCCTTGAGGTTCACACATGTCTGCAGGTCACTGTTGCTGACATAGGCGATCTTGTTGTTGGACAGGTCAAGGCTTTTCACAGTTGCCGTGAGCCCTGAGGGGATGGAGAGTAAAGATCTGGAGTGGCCATCGCAGACACCAGTGGGGTCACAAGCCAGAGGAGAAGCCTGAGCAGGGGCCCCCTCCTTGAACAGGCTGATTACAGCCCCCAAGACCCACACTGTCCACAAAGCACGTGGCATCATCCCGTGATTCAACCTACAAATAAAACAGGCTCAAATGAGTGATTGTGTTTGACAGCATACTGTAATTCTAGTTCTTGAGAAACATTTTCCAAAGTGTAACACACAGCATACATGCACGCCCCCCCCCCCCGCAACACACACACACACAGCTACCAGGAAATTACCAAGAGGCAAATGAAATGTATGAATAAAAATTAATTGTAAAATTAATTAACTAATATAAAAATAAAAAATTAATTCCTGCCCTGGCCGGTTTGGCTCAGTGGGTAGAGCATTGGTCCTCGGACCAAAGAGTCATGGGTTCGATTCTGATCAAGGGCATGTACTGTCCGCGGTCCTGTTCAGGGTTGTGGGAGAGGTAACCAGTTATTGATGTTTCTCTCTCTCTTCCTCCCTCCCTCCCACTCTATCTGAAGATAAATGGCAGGGGTGGGGGACCCTTAGGTGAGGATTTAAAAAAAAAATTCATTCCCTTTCCCATTCAGCAGCACTAATAGAGATACCCTGCCAATGTGCAGTGACTTAAAAGCACAATACCATCTGGGAGTACACAGCAGGACTCAATCAACATGGGTTGAAATGAATGAATAAATGAATGAATGGGAGAATGAACAGAAGCTTAAAAAAAAGGGCTAAACTTAACCATACCAATTTACAATCACCTGCTCCTGCACGTCAAACCTTCTTATATTTAAGCTGCCTCTTCCCTGCCTGACGTCCCCTGTGAGTTGGAGACTTCAGAGCCAAACTGCCGCTTTTATTGGACCACTCCTCACTAAGTGCCGCTCCAGGAGTACATGCTCTTTGACCGTGGAATAAAGGTCCCATTCTCTGTCAGCTTGTCTGGCACCTGCCCCGGCAGGCAGGAGGGATGCTGGGGACTCCAGGCAGAGCAAGGTGGTTTGCTGGGCCGAGGGACCATCAGACCATCAGAACCTTCTCTTTCTGCAAAGAAGTAAAGCAGAAAGCAGTACCTGCATCTGGCTGGGCTGTTCAGATAAAAGTGGGGGAAAGCTGTCTGCACACTTTCCACAACTGCTAATCCTTTCGCCCATCAATCCGACACTTCCTCTCTGCCCGCCTTCTGGGACCTACGTCCTCCTGAAGCTCCGTTCCGCTTTCTCATTCCTTGTTTCTGTTCTCCTGTCTGTGTTTCATCACTGCACTAACTGTACAAAATATATATATATATATATATATATATATATATATATATATATATTTTTTTTTTTTTTTTTTTTTTAATTTAACTCCAAGAACAAAAATTTTTGTGAGTAAAACTAATCCCCACCTTCCTAGGTTCCCACAGAATCTGAGAGGTTATAAAGTTCTAGGTTATATAACTTACAGGCACAAAGAATAAAAGCATTACTAACATTAATACACACTGAGTCTGGGAATGTAACTGCTGTTGCAGCCAGACTTGTGGCCACACCAATGTCTTTGCCTCCCCTCCTATCTTCTTTAGATAACTGGCTTTTTGTCCTGACCGGTTTGGCTCAGCGGTTAGAGCGTCGGCCTGCGGTCCAGAGAGACCCGGGTTCGGTTCCCGCTAAGGGCATGTACCTTGGTTGCAGTTTGTCCCTGGCCCCGTTTGAGTCAGGGCCGTGTGGGGGCAGCCACTTGATGTGTCCCTTTCACCTTGATGTTTCTCTCTCTCTCTCCCTCCTACTCTATCTGAACAAAAACATGGAAAAATGTCCTCGGGTGAGGATAAAAAAAATAGATAACTGGCTTTTCATTTCTCATCTAAAAATATAGTTTCTTGTCTTTCTATATCCGTATATCCGTATATAAAGACATTTCTGGTTTTTTTCCAGTGAGCCCGGCATTTTATAGTATAGATAAACTATAATTTCACAATCCTCAGCAGGCAATTTTGTTACTGTGCGAACATCACAGAGTAGTGCACTTAACACAATCCTGGATGGTACAGGCGACTACACACCCAGGAGACGTGGTCTAGCCACTGCTCCCAGGCTGCAAGCCTGTCCAGCATGTCACTGTACAAAACAACGCGAGGTTAAATCAAGCACAGGAGGAAACGATGCTGTCAAGAGACACGGTGAACACGAGATGACCAAGGCCGCTGCTGGGATACCAGCACACTGCTTCACAGAGCACTTTGTTTTAATCAATGGAAAGAGGACACTCTAAAATAACAATAAAAAGTTGAGTCTAGGAAATGCGTAAACCAGGAACATAGCCGTTTATTATCATCATCAAGTATTTTGTACTGGACATAACTGTACGTTCCACACTTTTACACAACTGGCAGCACAGTAGGTTTGGTTACACCAGCGTCACCAAACACGTGAGTATTGTGTTTCGCTATGACATTAGGATGACACCAGGTGACAGGAATTTTCAACTCCATTATAATCTTATGAGACCACCATCACACAGGCAGTCTATCATTGACTGAAACGTTATGGGAAATGGGGCCGTAATTATTATTACAATTATTAAGTTACAGGGGCTCTTTATATCACCTGGAAATGGAAGATAGATGTGTTACAAATATCTTCATCCGCTCTGTGGTTTACCTTTTCACTTTCTTAGTGGAATCTTTTGAGAAACACAAGTTCTTAAATTTTCTATGTTGGTTTTAAATGGTGATTTTTGTGGCCTGCCTAAAAAGAAAAATCTTTCCTACATCATTCTTTTTATTATTTTCTAAAATCTTGATTACTTTACCTTTCACTTTGAGGCCTATAATCTACCTGGGATTAATATTAAGGTAGCAGGCAGTATTCATTTTTTTTTTTTCCAATATGGGTATCCAACTGACCCAGCGCCATTTTTAAAAAGATTATTTGGAAGAAATAAGCAACAATATTGCCTTTGCCAACAACCACGTGTCCTCATAGGGGTGGGTCTGTTTCAGCACTCTCTATTCTGAGTTAATGTCTGTCTGTCTATCCTTGTACCAGTAATACACTATATAAATATATATCTTAATATCCTGGAGACTAAGTCCTTCCTTCTTGTCTTCCTCAAGTGAGTCTTAGTCTGGGCCCTATTCTTATAAATTACAGATTCAGCTTATCAGTTTCAAAAACAAAACCTATTTATTTTAGTTGACAATACCATGAATCTGTAGATCGATTTGGGAATTGTTGACTTCATTACAATATTAAATCTCCCAATCCTTGAGCATGATATATCTTTCCACTTATTTCAGACTTCTTTAATTTATCACAATAATATCTTCTGGTTTTCTTCATAGAGGTCTTGAGTATATTTTGTGAGATATATTCCTAGGCATTTGATACTTTTGAGCTTTGAAAATAGTACAGTGTATGTAAATGTTATATACTATGTGTATAAATTGAATTACATTTTATATATTTACCGTGCATTGAGCAACCCTGCTGAACTAATTTAGTAATTCCACAGTTTGTAGATTTAATTTTTTTTTCTATGCATACAATTATATCACCATCTGGATGATGATTTTATTTCTTTTTTCCAACCCTTATATCTTTATTTCATTTTCTTGATTACTGAATATTGACTTTATCAACTTCTTTTTTTTCTTCCTGTGTCTATTAATACCATGAATTTCCTTCTTTACCCTGTGAGTAAACACTGGTGATTACGATAATCAATTTCAGTTTCAAGACAATCTTGAATTTTTAGAATATATTCAAATTAGTCTGGATGTATTAAACTTTTTATATATTGCTGGATTTTATTTACGAATATTTTGTTTAGAATTTCTGTATCTACATTCAGAAGTTAAATCGCCCTATAAATTTTCTTTCCTTTGGTAGAATTTACCAATGCCACCTTCTGAGCCTGCAGTTTTTGTTGTTATTGTTTGTTCGTTTATCTTGTTTTTGTGTGAAATACATTAAATTTATTTAACAGCTGTAGAATTATTTAGATTTATTTTTCTTCTGTCAGTTTTGGTATATTGTGTTTTTCAAGAAATGTACTGTTTTTTTTTTTTAATTTTTAGTTATTGACACAGTTACTTATAATATCCTCTTATTATGTCTGTAGGACTCATTGTGAATTCCTCTATTTTATTCCTTAGATGAATCATTTGTGCCTACTCTTCTGAATTATATTGCAAAAGGATTATCACTTTATTGGCATTTTCATAAAACCAACTTCTCATTTTACAGATCCCCTATTTTCTTTTTCATTCATTTCTGTTCTTCTATTACTATTTCCTTCCCTCTGCTTTCTCTACATTTTGTTCTTCTTAGTCTATCTAGTTTCTTGAGGTACGTATTTGCTCATTAATTTTCAGCCATTCTTTATTTCTCATATATACATTTAAGGTCACAAATTTTCATCTAAGCAGTAGCTTAGCTGTGTCCTCCAGGTCTATTTCTCTTCTATTTGTTCCATCTTTTAGTCTTTTCAAGTTCCAGTCTAGATATTTTCTTCTGAGATGTTTTCTAGTTTCTTATTCTTTCTTCGGCTATACTTAATCTACTGTTAAATCCATTTACTGCTTTCAACTTTTTTGGTTATTGCAATTTTCTCTTTTTTTATTTATCTTTGTTATTGAAAGTAGTATAGATGGGTTATTGCCATTTTCATCAGTATAATTTCTATTTGTTTCTTTTTCACATCTGCTGTGTTGTTGTTTTTTTGTTTTGTTTTTAATTGTTTTCCTTTATTGATTTTAGAGAGAGAGGAAGTGAAAGGGAGAGAGAGATAGAAACATCAATGAGAGAGAACATCGATTTGCCGCCTCCTGCATGCCCCACACTGGGTATCCAGCCCACAACCTGGGCATGTGCCCTGACTAGGAATCCAACTGGCAACCTCTTGGTGCATGGGTCAACGCTCAACCACTGAGCCACACCGGCCAACTGCTGTGTTGTTTTTCATAGTTTCTGATTCTCTGCCAAAACTTTCAATCTTGTCTTTAATCACCTTGAGCACAGTAAGCATACTCTGATAGGCTGCAGCACTTTGACAGCCTTGAAGGACAGGGAGTTAAAGAGTAAGGTCTGGGGCAGTCTTGGATGAGGCAGGTAAGGCTGAACTAGAGGAAAACAAATCCCCACAGACATTGCAGCACAGCTTTGATTTATCTAGATGTCTCAGACAGTCTTAATCTCTGAGAATGATTTCTGAATGCTAGTGCTCATGGGTATCTGCAGAAGCAAAGACAATTTTTCTCTAGAAGATATCATCCTAGGCCTCAAATGTCTTTTTATAATTTTTCAAAAGGAATTTTCAGTATGCACTAAGAAAAACAAACAAACAACAACAACAAAAAAAACAGGTAATAAAGGAATGAAATTAATATGTATGAGCAGAGCAGAAACAGGAGACAATGGAAACTAATCCATCAAGACTAGTCTTGTACCTACCTCTAAAATCAACAAATCAAGATGAGATGGTTATTACTGCTTGGTACTATATTTATTCCATTGTCTTTCTGATTAATCAAGTTATCAAAAAAAATCCTCTTAGTATAACTGTAGTGGGCAACCAAAATTATTTTATTTTTTTTCCACTTTGTAATACATAGCACAGATCTTAAGAAATACATAATCATTTTTGGCTAAGATTTAAGGTCAAATACATCTATTTTTCATTTTTCTTAGCCTTTTCTCTTTGAGATGTAGAATTTATAAAAAACTTAGATCTTGGGCTATCTCATATAAATATTATATGGTACCTATAGCATAGTGAGTTTTAAACAATAATAATCATTGATGATGCTAAAACTGCAACTCAACACTTAATATCAGAATTACTTCTCTCCTTTCAGATCCTTCATGCATTACAGCATGAGGCAGAGAAGTCCTCAATAGAAGACACCGGGGAAGGAAAGGGCAATGGCTAAAGTTAGACTACATGGAGTCACAGCTAAATGAGGGATGAGGGCCTGGACAAAGGATAAAATTCATCTGCTTGAAGAGTTCAGAAAGCGCACAGGGCAGTGAGGAATTACTTGTCCAAGGCCCAAAAGAGGATGGAAGTCTGAGAAATAAGCCTGGTATGAGAGGTGAATTATGCTGCATACATCTGCTACACCAGAACTGGAAGGAAGTTGAAACCCTGAGGCCCACAGTGAGACCACAACCAGATATCCACGTTAGGGCCAGGGCTGTAGTGCCTGGTGACGCGGGAGTGCAGAGGCTCGTGACCCACTGCATAGC